AACTAAAGAAGCAAATTTTGGGCTCTTGACATGTCTTGGCCAAATGACTATGTCTGGTATAAGTAGAAAATGGTGCAAATTTGATTTTTCGCTGAACCATTCCTTTAAGTGTGTCTGTCTGTCGGTGTGATGTTCATATGCGTGTATTGGGCCATAGTTGTGAGATTCCCCAGTGGACTGGAATGATCTGTGAGCCATTAATTGTAACAGGCACTCTAAATGAGATGGCGTGTGTGAAGGGGTTCAGTAAAGTGATTGTTTAAAGTCCTGTGAAAGGTGGCAGTTTCTGCTCACTAGGCTAGTTTTCACAACCTTTTCCACTTTGCTAAAATACCGTGGCATGTGTCAAGCTAATTTCCCTAATAATTCACCTACATGCCCACAAACACTCAAGCACAAATGAACACATCTAGAAATCCATGCCGTTATTTGGACCCCTTTTACGAAGATTTTGCGAAGAGGGCAGTGATACAAAAATTGTCTTTTTTTTCAGAACTTATAACAACAAACTATTGAAATAACATTCTTGAGGCTCATAAACAAGATTTTTGAGGAATACATGGAATATCAGGGAGGTAAATGCTTTTACTGATACAATATTCCAAAAATCACACCTTTTCAGGTAAATTTGACCCCCTGTATGTATTCTAATTCTCTTAATATAGAATTCATATCATATGTGCACTTGTAAGTCTGCGTATATCAAGTATTCTATAATGGCTTTGAATGTAGCAGTGTTACTATATTGATATTAGGCTCATCAACTAACAATTAATTGCTGACTAATGACACATGGTTGCAGAATTTGCGTCCCTGTTGTTGGATGCATACTTTCTGCACAATATTGTTGTATTCTTTTCTAAAAAGCTCTTGACATTTTCTACTTCTCTCTCTATTTCTTTCTCTCTTTCCCTCTTTGCCTCTCTCTCTCTATCTTGCTGTGATCCTTGCTCCCTTCTCTCAGCTCAAAGTTTACCACCTCACTGGCATTCTGAGTTGATTTAGATTTAAAATTCCTTTAAAACATTAATGGCCTCTTTTTAAAATCGAGATTTTCTCATAACGTGTGTTTTTTTCCCCCTTCTCTTCCTCGAACAACTCTAAAGTTAACCAACGTGATGAAATATTGAAGCCTGGGCACCCCACAGCCTTTTTTCTCCTAGCTAAGCCTTTAAAGATTCATGGGGGCTGCACTGATATCATTAGGCCGTGAGAACACAGCCTTACATAGGCGCACACACACATACACACACACACACACACACACACATCTGACCAAGTCCTTAACTGTATTTGCCTTTCATTTCTAATTGTATGTCAACCTCAGACTGGATTAAAGCCAGCATAAAGCACAGTAGTGGTCACAGGAGACAGCATGGCAATTCACATAAAATGAACTTCTCCGATAATGTTTGATTTTTATTGTTTTTACATTTCTTCTAGCACCAGGGGAGTCAGCGTGCAAAAGCAAACAGCTGTTTGGAGGTTTTTCCTACCCCACATCAACGAATAAAAAAACAAATTATGAAAAACAAAGATGCTTCGGTATACTATGCATGTTCACAGCTCTGTGCCTTGTTTAAGCAAATTACATTTATTTGCTCTTTGACCCAGTACGATCACATCAATCCAGTCTGGTCAGTCTTGGTCAGTCTGCTGATTATACATTGGTTGGCACTTTGTTGGCAAAGTATCTTCCTGGACTGTGTAATTCTTATGTTGAAAATAACTTATTAACTCACTCACATTATTTCTGATCTTTCTCATCACATCGTTTTGATCCTGTACTTTTTTCTCTGCTTCTTAATTTTACCTTCTCTGTTCATCTGTTGGAAACGGTCATCTAGTATGGATGACTGTATCTTGCTTACTTTCTCTCAGTCTTACTTAAGTTATTACTGAAGTGGAGTCAGGCACATCAATATAGAATCCTTACCCCATTCAATATAATAGAGACGTTCATGTACATTCATGTAAAGATGAACATGAATATTTAAACAAGCCCATTAATATGCAACAACCATTTTAAAGTTTTAAGATTTGAGATGTAAATTATTCAAATAGCGTTCACGGCACTTCAGATGTTTCATCATAAACGTTGAGACTCTGATGTTGGAGAAGATTTGAATATTAATCAAATGAAAACAGATGAAAATAGGACTCCATTACCCATGAGACGTCTCTCTCCTCCTGACCTTCCTGGGAGGATGAACCTTCGGGCTGCTCTACTCGTAGTTCCCACAGCTTGTGTGTGTTTATGTGTACACGTGTGTGAGTCGAGGGCTGGGGTGTGTACGTGCAAGTGCGCAAGTGTTTGCATGTCTGTCGGCCCTGGACATTGATGCATCAAACACTAACCTATAAAAGTAAACGTTTCAAGTGACTGCTCTCTCTAAATTACAAAATCTGAGCAACTTTCACGAGCAAACTGACACTCTGAGTCACACAAACACACACACACACATAAACGTGCAAATCCGACACAGTGGAGGAAGATGGATCTGGGGACAGATTGTTAGTGACATGTTAATTTCTACACCGTCACTCAAGCTTGGTGCATCTGCAATCAAAGTGATGGGACACAGGCAGAGCTATCAAACCCTCCTCTATCTCTGACTCCCCCTCTTCTCAAATTGCCTCCTTCTCCCTCACCCTCCCCTTTACTCTTTCCATAACTGCCCTCACTATTCCTCTCTTGCTCTGTTCTGTAGTCTTCTCCGTATTGTCACTGTCATATGAAAATTTGAAATTTTTACACCATTTGAAAATGGCAGCTGTCCTTAACATTATGTGAAGATTTCATGACAGCTGGATCATGAGAAATGATCCAAAATTATTCTGAATAACATTAACCTACATGAAAGTTAAGAACATATTTTTGCTTGGTCTGTGAAGTTACCTTTTCGGAGATAGAAGGTTTTTTATGATCGTATTCTTCCAAATTAATTTATCCTGGACCGTTGTAAATGGGTTGCTAATCAAAGACGGTTATGCTGCTGTTAAACAGTGGATTTCTACATAATAAGGTAAATTATTTATTGTCCTATTATTTCCTTGTTGTAGATAATACAAATGAGTTTGTGGAACTGAGACATAAAAATGGATTTCAGATGTAAACCCAGAAATGTGCAAGAGAATTATTCCACAATTTGGGGAAAAAATATTACAAGAAATATTTTTATACCATTTAGCGAACACTACTTTTTGCTGAAATCCTGTGCTTCTGGGTACATCAATCAAGGCCTCCAGCTCCTACAAATCAGTAAAAGCAATTGGAAAAAGGTGCATATATTTATGAGATCCTGTTGATGTGATTTCCATTCTTCGGTGATGTACATAAAAGCTACTTGAGTGCTAACAGTACCCCCTTCTGGAGAATCTTTGGCCTGCTAAATATGAGTGAGAAAGTGAGCGAGTTATAAATGAATTCATTTAATTAATTAAGTTAATTTATGACCTGAACCTTTCCTGCTCTTACTGAATATGGTTTTTAAGATTTTTTTAAATGCTTGCGCACTGTCACGGCATGTTTACAGTTTTCACAAACACATTTCACTGCACTTCACTCTCATTACAACCTGCTTATGCTTTTTTTGCAGAACACTAAACGCAATTCTCAAAGTCTCGAAGCACACAGTTCATGATAAACTCTCATGGCGTCTTTTGCTAAAAAACAATATCTGTATCGGTGCTAGAAAATGAGAAAAAATTGAAGACAAAGTGTCAATTTTAGTTTATTTATAATATATAATGCAAATAGGTAGATATAGACTTCACTGTCTGATCAGTATAATGCATGTGTATGTGTACTTCATGCTGTAACAGGATCCTGCATCCAGAGGCTGGATCGTGTATCACTAAATTAATTAAATTTATTTTATTTTATTATTATTTTTTTTTTTACTTTTTTTTTACCAACAACAAATTGCAAGTGTTTCAAAGATAGCTTTATTTTTTACTCTGTATTCCTAAAAGGGTAGTTTATGTTTTGTATTCATATTTTGAATATGACAGTGACAGTGTGGTAAGTGTGTTTGGCTGTTTGCTGTAAATGTTTCATTTTTGGACGAAGGTTTGTGGTTTTCTCTACAGTGTTTCTTTTTGCTTTAAGTGTGGAGAGAATTTGCTAAATGTGGGTAGAGTTTTGAGTGCAAGCAATTGAGAAAAACTGTAAGCTAGGGTGACCTTATTTTGGTCTTCAAAAAGAGGACACTTAGGGCAGGAGGGAGACACAGAGCAGACTGTAGAAAGCGAATGTCAACATGAAAACAAAGGCAAATCCCGGACTTTTTAGGCAATACGGAAATCCTGGGCGGACGTGTTCTCAAGTCCCAAAAAGAGGACAAATCCTGGAAGAAGAGGATGTATGGTCACTGTGTGTAAACAGTAAAAAGAACTTAAAAGTACTGTTTCTTAAACAAATGCTCTAAGATCTAGAGTGACTTACAATGTAGTCATGTTACAGAAGTAGTCATGTAGCGTTTGGAGTCTTGGCCAAGGACTCTTATTGGTGTAGCGTGGTGTGCTTGCCCAGGTGTTGAAAATAAACTCCAGTCTGCTGCGTAGAGGTCAGCAGTATCATCCTCTACACTACACCAGCTTCTGTGTTTGTCTGTTGTTTGTGTTATTGTAACTTTCTAGACACATAATTTTATGGTAAATGAGTTAAAAACAAAAAATAAGATTAAAAACAGAGAAAACAATAAAATGAATTGAATAGTGCTCAAGTTGTTTCCATACTATTTTATCTTTTTGCGCACATGCACATACACGCATACATAGACATACACCCAGAAGTGTCAGATTACCTTCATCAGTATTGGGGTAATCTGGGCATGGATTAAGATTAGTATGGGGAAGATCAGAGCACCACAGGGAGTTGGGGGGAAGATGATGATGGTCATGTTTTCCAGAACTTGTTTTGCTTCAATAGACATTAAATGCCTCCTCTGCCCCCCACCCCTCCTCTCTCTCTCTCTGTGGATGTGCACGTGAGGCAGGCAGCCGTGGTACTATGGCTGGGGTTTTAATCTGCCGCGAGGGCAGGCACTGTTGGACAAGTGGAACCAGATCCCAGACTCTACTGACATTCTGCTCACACACTGCCCTCCTCTGGGTGAGTCACAAAAAACAGACACACACACACAGGTAGTCAGTAACTCAAGGCTTTTTCCTGTAATTTTGTTTTCATTGAAACACACACTAACGCACACACATTTGCTCTGAGGGTTTGGCAGATGGAGTGGCTACAGCAGGCTGCTAAAGCATGCAACACCGAGACGCTGTTCGCAGTGCGGCAAATCCCTCTGCACACAATAAAACACACACACACACACATATTATGTATATGGCAGGGGGAAGTTTCTCCATAAAGACAGCTGCAGTTTAAGACACCCAGCTCTTGGGCTTTCAGAGTGTGTGACAAAGGCTTAATTCTCATGAGATCTGTGTGTGCTCCTGCCTGTGTGTGCATCTGTACGTTTGCCAACCAGCTCTAAACCAGAATCTCTGCACCTCCAGAGACCTATGTTGTACGTACTGAATTTGCATGTGCATATAAATGTATATTGAGTAGATAATTAAGAATTGAGTATATCATCAAGTCACGGTAATGTTGTAATGTCCTTCATACAGGTTTTCTAGACTGGGTGCCCAGAAAGATGCAGCGTGTTGGCTGCATGGAGTTACTGAATACAGTCCAGAGACGGGTACAACCCAAACTACATGTTTTTGGACATATACATGAAGGTAACGCTCATACACCCATCTCACAAATGCAAGCTATGAAATAATGAGGCATGAAGAGCCATTGCTGAATATCTAACACACACACCCTGTATAGATCTGTGATGAACAAGACATCACACAACGTGTCTCTGCTTAGCTTACACACTCTGTGAGTTCCAACATACTCATGGTACCACAAAGCTTCACCCTATTTTGGGACTAGCAGGGCAGACTGTCTCCCTGTGGTGCTCTGAATAGGAACTAGATCATGTTCAGATTCACACAGAATGAAATTAGCACTCGTAATGAAAATCGCCCTTTAGCTAGCAGGAAAAGATCGTATGTGTTAATTTGGTTTGTTAGTTTTATGAAAGGGGTTTTGCTATTTTGTTATTTTGTTAAGGGGTTGTGATCTGAGGGGTGTTGAAAATAGATTTGCTTCCATTGCATGTTATTATAATGCATCATAAAATGATATGGTAATCATGTCGCGTTTATGATTGTACATAACTGGCAGTGAGCATATTTTGTGAACTGTTCTTTATGCTAAAGGAGTATTTAGAGAAATAAGTTTATTTAGAGGAATATTAGAGAATTTTGTATTAGTTGAAATGTGTGAATCTTTGCTTTAATTTATTTCATTTTCGTCGTTAAGGCCTATACACATATTACAATTCGACTTCGTTTTTGTTATTTTACTTTGTACATCAACTCAGCTGCATTTATGTTTCTTACTATGTGAAAGATGAGTCATGTAGAATATACATTAGTGCAGCCAAGTAACAAGTACACAGTTCATACATTGTGTGGTCCTGCGAAGGACCGTGGCCTTGATGATTTGTCTTTTAAAACCACACTTGTGAGTTCTTGACTGTTCTATATCAAGGTATGCTTACACAATATGGATCGTTCTACTGAATTAGTTCAAACTGTGGTCTCACACTTTAAAAAAAGTGTTAAAAAAAGAATAGTTTAAGTGTTAAGACTTTAGTTATTATTTACAAGGATTATGCTATGATCTATTCAATCCCAAGGCATTCATTAAAATACTAATAAGCTAATTATATACAAAATCGTCTTTTATAGGGTACTTTCTAAAGGGATTTTTTTAAGGTCTTTTTTTATTTCAAAACCTTGTTTAAAATTTATATTTAAAGTGAAGTTGAAAGATTTAGATGTAGTTTAATTTTTAAATAAAAAAAAATAAAAAAAAACTTCAGAAATGCTGTCCTCCGTTTTTATGTCAATACAAAAGCACAAAGAATTTTATTCCATAGCTGGAGCCTAATTTTAGCCACACCCCTGCATTTTAGAGCAAGAGAGACTGCATTCCTGTCTTTCATGGCCTCGTGGTGAGCAGTTAGATCCCATTTTGAAGTAAATGTGTCCCAATGAGTCTGAAAATCAGTGTGTAACATTAAGACCTTTTTGTATTTTAATGAAACGTATAATTCTATGTGTGTACCGCTTGTCAAAGTTGTGTTTGCTAGTCATTTACTGACTAGCGTTTTTGAGTTCAAAAATTTGCCAAAAACTGGCTAAAATAAACATCTGGATTAATTTTTCACCAGTCCGTTAGAATGATCCATATACTGCCATATGCAAAAGTCTGGCTGCCCTGATCAAATTACATTTTTTTGATTTTCTAAATGAAAATGAGTTCAGAAATATGCAAAAGGTATGACATATTTTATATTTTATGTTTTTTTTTCCAAGATGTTAAACTTGTGCACTAAAATATGCAGAAAAAGATTTAAATTTGTTCCAAGTAGAGGATAGTTTGATTGGGGGTGTTTAAATTGCATACGACTGTAATAGTTAACCCTGCATGATATGGGCCAGATATCATTTCAGGCATAATGCTACGTATTGCATTTGCAAAACAACATACAATAGAATATTAATTAGAATGGAATATTTACTAGTTGAATATATACCTGTGTGATTTTAGGAAGAATTATGTTAATTTGTTATTGATTTATTGGAACACACATTGAATGTCCTTTAGAAATATCTGAGATTGGTTTGGTTGTTTGTAGAACAAAATGACAAATCATTTACTAAGTTGCTCATTAACCTCTGCATAGTGTCAAAATGATATATTTTGCAGTCATAGTTTTTGTGTTTTACAACTTACGCAAAGTTGTATAGCATCTTCTGAAGTCTTCTATGAAAATTTGATTCCGAATAAATGATTTACTTCTGTTCATTTGTTTGTGTGTGTGCTTGTTAGGTTACGGCATGATGACGGATGGAACTACCACATTTATCAATGCCTCTGCGTGCACAGTCAACTTCCAGCCCATGAACCCCCCCATTGTGTTTGACCTGCCCAATCCCAGGAGCTCATGATTGAACTCGGCCACTCCTTGCGGCCCCCGTCTCCAATCAGGGTCCCTCTCCGAGTGTATTAGGGTGCTCTTTTGTGTGTATATTAAGCAGATGGGCGAGACTGCGCTCTGGACGTTCTCATGGAGAGTTTCATCCACTTTGTGCCATGTTCTGTCCTCAAATAGTGACTCTGCTACTGCCTCATTCGAAGATATTTTGCCATTTTTTTAAGTGGTTCTCACTCTTTCATTGCACTTGAAACGTTGTGACAATCCCTTCTAGTAATGTGGTCACTCCATGGACGACCATGGGATTTTGGGAGGTTGTGGTGTTGGACTCTCCTCATAATTTAACCCCAAGAGAGGAAACTCTGCAACCTGGAAGCCTCAAAGGACCTTTGACTCATAAAGAAAAACAAACTCATTCTTCAGCTTTGTGCTGGAGTGCTAATAGGTCTAGAATGGCCAGGAGATGAATCAGAGGAAGTGTTTATTGCCAGCTTTGATTTTTGCAGCACTTCATTCTTTTTCATATCTTACCGTATCCGGTGCCATGATGCGAAGAAGGTTTGTTCAGGGTTTCCTTCATCTCTTACTCTTATTCTCTTTCCCCAGATCTATCAGGCAGAAAAGCCCATGCCTGTCTGAAGGCGCCATGTTTGGGAGGGAAGTCAGACACTGAAAGTGAAATGTACAAATGTTGACGTGAAAAAACTTCTATGGTCTCTTTTTTATTCTTCCTTTATGCAGTTCATTGTAAACATGTTTGTTGTGAGTGAGTTTGTAGCAGGAAGTCCTTCATTTTAACCTTCTCTGATTTTTTGGAGAGCTTGTTAGATGTCAAATATTGAATATTTTTAAGCACTTCAGTTCAAAGACATGCCTGAGCTCAAAGTGCACTTTTGCCTAACAAGAATACATTGCACTTTGATCTACATGTTCCCCACTATAATTTATTAATATTGCTCCTGGGTATCATTTACTCTCATGTTTTACAGTTATTCTGAGTGTCAGCACCATGCCTAACGGTTCTACTTACAATAAGAATACCGGAGTCTTTCATTTACTCCTTTTAAACGGATGAGCGAACAGCCTGAATCAGAGGTTGGTGGGTTGGTGTATGTATCTGTGTGCATCAAGTTCAAAAGCTCATGTTTAAAGGAAAACTCCAGCATTATTCCCTCTAATCTCTGCTGCATCTAAAACATACATTCAGCAATTTTGATGCATTTTCCTTAGAAAAGAACAGAAAAGGGGGGGACTCAAACTCACAGAAGACACTGGGCAGTTGCTGAATTGTGTCAGGAAACATTTTTGCTAAATACATAAATTGCAGAATTCATTTCACAAATTAATTTGCGAATTTGTAGCTGTACATCTGCATATTTTTTTTCTTTCAGAGATAAGACTAGTTTTCCAAGAGAAATCATTTTCACAAACTTCTGCCTGATGGTGCATGGATACCAGAAAACCTTACACCAGAACTACTTTTGTGCAGTACAGTTGCTCCAGCGTTTGAAAGTCAAATAACACTTCTTAAGATCAATGGGCCACATTCACCAGTATCTTCCTTCCTAAAAAGTATTTTCTTAAATTTGTTCCTGAGAAACGTCCTAAGAATAAGTCTACGTCAGATTCACGACGTGTTCTTAAACTGCAGAACTGTTCTCACCTTTGTGCTCTTGAGTGTGTAGATTCTGTTCTTACCTAAGAATAAATCCCAAATAAGAAAACATTGACGAATGTCAGAATCTTCATGAAAACTGCGCAAGTGGGTTATAAGAAGAAATTTCTTCTTAAACCACATTTTCACTGACTTCACACTGTTCACCCCCTACACGAGAGGTCACTAATAGGCGGACCGCGGTCCGAGTCCAGACCCAGACGCTGTCCTATGCGGACCTGGACCTATAACCGATAAACTACGTATCTTTTTTTTTTTTGACAGGGTCGTCCTATTTTAATCAGCGTATGATTTCTAGTCATTACGGTACCGGTTTAGCCCCCCGGGAAGCTCACAGACCAATCGCATGCGTTGTAAATATCACACAAGATGCTACTCAGCCAATCAGATCTGTCCATTACGATGAGCACTGAGACTGGACTCAGTGACACACACACAGGGAAAGGACGAGGCGAGACACAACAGTTGGAGAAGAAAGTTGTTCTGGACTTTTGCTTGAGGAAATTTTCTCTAACTGGACCTTATTGAACTTTAATTAAAGATCCCTGCCCTACACATTTATATTATACATGTGGTGTTGGGGTGAAACCACAGGGAAGTGTGGAGGTGCTGTGTCCTTCACTCTGTTCTACTCCTACATGGCCTGATGTTAGTGTGTGTGTGTATATGTGTGTATGTGTTTGTACATGTGTGTGTGTGTGTGTGAGGGTGGACAACATGGACAGGCTGCTGACTGGCTACAGCTGCTAAAGGAGAACCCTATACTGGCCACTTGTGATATTTTAAACATCTGGTATTTTTACATAAATTGTTTTGGCTGTATTGATTTTTAATAACAATAATGCGGTGGGTCCACAAGACCACTGAGTAGCAAACACATCAACACCACACAAGGGATAGTGTCATGTTTCAAATATTTAGCAACTGCCCAACTGCTTCTGTTTTAAGTGAATGAGTTTTCTGCTCTTTTCTGAGTACTGAGAAATGCACAGAAATTGTCATCAGTACTGGAGGATACCACACACGCAATAGAGAGATATTATGTTAAAAAATGCTGCACTTGTTCCGTCTTTGGCTGAGAAAATCTAAGAGATAGCGTGATGCATTTGGTCAAAGGTGATATAATGTGTTGGAATCTGAGCTCTCATCTCATATTGGCTTATTTAACGGGAGTTTTTTTTGGTGCATTTGGTTTACATTTTATCAAATGTTCCTATATTCTTCATTATACTTCATGGGTCTTTCTTTGTTCCCCGTTTCTGGTTTGTTATTTTTTCGTCATCAGGGTTCTGCTGTTTTTCTGAGTGTTCTCTGCAGCATGCTGTTCTGAATTTTAAAATAGAGATTCTGAGATTTGTAAGACAATCTTTTGTGTTGTGAAACATTCGTGCTGAAGACTGAATGTTTTTTGTTGTTTGTTTTGTTTGTTTCTTTTTTTTTTGTTGTTTTTTTTTTGTTTTTTTTTACTTTTTTTCCCCAACGCTCTCGAAACAGACGTTTTGGCACAGAGGAAACATCGTTACAAGGCTTAACCTTTCCGAGGAACATGCCTTTCTTAGAATCCAAATCTTTTTGTTCTCTGAAAGATCATTTACGCAAATTAAATAAAATCTTATCCGTGCCACTGGCTTACGTGTCTTCTCCTTCCTTCCCTTTTCTCCTTTTATGTGTTCCTCATATTTCTCGCCCTGTGTGAGATGAGTGGATTTGAAACTTTATCATTGCTCCGCTTTTGTTGTAATCAAAGGGATCTGAATTTCATATCAATTATCCGAATGTGGCTAAAACCTAATTTACATGGGTAAAAATCATATTCTCTCTTTCATTCGGTCGCCTCACTCTTCCACACTTCTGCACATCCTAATGAAATCCTTCGTTCAAATAATTACATGAGTAATCCTGCGGGATGGAGTGTAATTTATTCTGGGCTGGCTTTTACTATGCTATTAAAGTCTGCTCTCTCCTCTCTACCCTCTCCTGCGTCTTACCTCTGTCCTTTCTGCCTCTTTCTCTCACCTTTCGTCTGTTGTTTTGGTCTATTTTGCCATTTTCTGCTTATTTTCTCCCTGCAACAAATTTCATATTTGCTTTTCACTCTCCTGTACTCAGCACTCTTTGTAAAAGGCACCTGTTTCTGTCTTCTTCTATATCCGTAGTCTCTACTGTCACCTGCTGTCAGCCCCCACCTCCCTCTTTCTCTCACACACATACAAATAAACACTGTGCATCTCTGCGTCAGGCATTTCATAGCTTTAGATCTGAACAAAGGCCCAGTTTACTGCATGTGAGTGGTGTTAAACATCCCAGAGCATGCTGCCTGGCTCCCCATATGATGCCAGAATCAGGAACTAATGCTGTGGAACAAATGTAAATGCAACCAACACTGACAGAAAAAACGAAGTAGTCACAACAATACACATTTATTACTGTTTTATTGTGTGCTTCCGTGACAGACATTGCTTTTGCATGAGGCTTTGGAAAAGTTGAAGCAGATGAATAAACAATGCATCTGTGCATGCATGCATATGTGCATTTGCATGTCTTTGAACCATGCGGTCATTTAAGATTTCATTTTTAGTAGTGGGTGCTGTTAATTTAGTGCACAAGGCACATTTCAGACGTCCTAGATGAACACAAATCCATTTCAGTTCCAATCCAGAGAGATGAAGCTCTCCAGCTGTATTGAACTGGTTCATGAACACTCAGCCAGGCCTTCATACATTGCCTGCTACGAGAAAATGGAAAAAACTCGTCTTCTGCTGGATATGTTGGACTGATAAAGAAAGCTCCCTGTTTAGACGTCACGGCTGCCTCTCCTAACCAAACTTAATATCAGCACTCATCGTAAATAACGTTCTTAATAAAGTAATTTGCAGTGAACCCGGCCATCCAGGTTCAAAAGTCCACCGTGATCTATGTGCATGCAAAAGCATACCTACTTATAATAACCTCTAGGAAGCATCATGAGTTATTCTGAGGAGAAATGTCCTACAGCAAGGCACAATCACGTCCATCTAGCTCGCCCATTATCATGTAAGATATTATCACCATGACAACGCCTCAGAGCATGGAGAAAGATGACAAGCAGAAAGTTCACACTGCCTTATCCGGAACAAAAGACAAAGAATTTTCTGGCACAAAACCGCATTTTATTAGTAGTGACATGTTATATTAATAGTGGTGAGTCAATAAAAGGGTGGGCTCTCTTTTGTTTGTACGTTTCACCGTCTTTGTCTGGGGTTTTTGGACGTTGCTCATTAGAATACGGTACAGATTGTGCCTTGGATAGACTCTGGAAGGTGGCAGATTTCACGCGGGTTGCCAGGTTTAGCCTCACCCACCCACTTTTAACATGGCTCAGGGCGCTATGGAGTTACTCCATGGGGAGTCATGCTAAACCAGCCCCACTCTTTGTTCGGTGATGGCTCTCCTTCTATGCCAAAAAGACGAAATCTCCCAATTCTGTCATCAGCAGAGTGTCAGAACAGAGCCTCAGGGTGGGAGGTCCCTGCTGAGTTTTTACCCAATCTGGCGCCCGCCTCTCCTTCCTACTCCCCGATTTTACTTCAGCGTGGTGCTTCTTTCAGTCATCAACAGTTCAGAGAAGGAAGCCATTTTATACCAGTCCTCTGTGGACATAGTGATGCTGCCTTCACTTGTAAGATATCCAAAAAGTGCTCTATTCAGGATTCCCATATGCCTCTAGCTGAATTGGAATTAAAGTCGCCTTCCTGTCTAAATCTGGTGTAAATCGAGCTTTATGGGATATAACAGCATGTTGCTTTTAAGTTGAATGGTGGGCCCTTGGCTAACTAGAGAAATGGCACAGATGTTTCTTTTTTTATGATCCATGGTCAAAGGTACGTTCAATAGGCCTTGATGAAATTTAGCGTCTGTTTGTACATAATATTTGAGTTCAATTGTGGTTTGCAGGAGCTGCGGTTGCTGGTCGTCCTGTTTAACATCTGGCTCTGAAGAGAAGACAAAATGACAAATGAAGTCAGGACACTCCATTGTTCTTTAGCTCGTGCTTCAGGGCAAGCAGCTCTGGCACTCTGTGTAACAGGGACGTGATGAGTGCTTAGAAGTGGCGGATTTGGATTTGATTTCCGCCATGCCCATTGCTAACAGACGCATAAAATAATACTGCAGCCATGCAGTCCCCATAAACGCTGGGTCGCACCGAAGAGCTCAGTGATTCTCGATGTGACACTGTCCTAGGATGCCAACTTTCCAACAAGTCAGTTCATTTCTGCAATTTCTGCACTGCGACAGCTGCCCCGGTCAAACTAAGTGCTGTTATTGTGAAATGGAAATGTCTGGGTGCAACAACAGCTCAGTCATGAAGCAGTGGGCCACTCAAACTCACAGAATGGAACTGCCAAGTGCTGAAGCGCATAGTGCATAAAAATAATCTGTACTCTGCAACACTCACTGCAAAGTCCCAAACTGCCTCTACAGCCACATCAGCAAAAGATCTGTTTGTCGGGAGTTTATTTGATTGGGTTTTCGTGATTGAGCAGCTCCACAGAAGCCTAAGATCCTTGCTAGAAAAACCAGCATAGATCAGCATCACTGGTCACCAGCAAAACCAGCATGTTGTCGGAAGAAAGCCTTGTATCTCCATTTTTGACATTTTTCGGTTTTTGACATATTTTGAAAATACCTGTTGCCCTTTACATTGTGTGTAAATTTCATGAAGAATGGACCAAAAGAAATAACCCAAAATTACTTGGAAAAAAGTCTGGTTCCATTGACTTACATTAAAAGTAAATTAGGTTTTTTCCTTCTCCTGTAAAGTTACCATTTTGGAGATAAAAGGTTTTCTTCCGACAACAGCGATATGTTGTTTTAGATGCTGGTGTGCTGGTCCATAAACTGCACACGGC